CCCCCCCCCCCCCCCCCCCCCCCCCCCCCAAAGGGGGGCCCGGGGCGGAAAAAAAAAAAAAAAAAAAAAAAGACAGCCATGCCACCCTAGGATTGGCCGGAATGCCGCCTCCTACAAGCTGCCGCCCCAAGCACCAGCTTGCTCGGCTGGTGCCTGGAGCTGGCCCTGCAGGTAGGGAAGAGAGAGGGGCTGCAACACAAAACAAATCACGTGGTTTGACTTGGTAGGCTAGGGACCTGGCCTGCTGCTTCCAGGAGGACTTTGACTTTGATTTTTACTCTCCACGGGCCGGCTCTGCCACCCTTACCCACATTGAGTAATGCTTTAGGGCCAGATTTTTAAAGCTATTTGGGCACCTGATATGTCAGGTAGTGCCTACTGGGCTATTCAAACGCACCTAGGTGCCTAACTCCCATTTAAATCAATGGGGTTTTGGCATCTAAGTAGCTTTACAAATCTGGCCCTTACGCCGTATCCCAGTTTTATACTCATGTAATTCCATCAACTTTACTGAGCAGCTCCTGATTTACTCTGGTGTCACTGAGTTCAGAGGCAGCCCACTGACTTCAGCCTCCTTGAGTTGTTGGTGTGACTTTAGTGCAGTAAGCTACTCAGTGTGAGTAAAGGAAGGCAGAGTCTGACCTCAAACGAGCCATGTTCCTGCACACAGCCCCCTTCAGTCCGTTCGGGTGGTGGTAGAGGAACTTGGCTGTCAGTAAAACTAGATTTGATTAGGTTTATTCAAGTTCAGGTCAAAGCAAAGGCCAAGGATGCCCAAAGCCACTCTTGGCTGAAATGAAGTGCCTCTCTCAGATTAACTATAGTGATTTGTATGCACTGAGCAGTGCAGAAAAATGTAGTTGATTTATAAATGTCAAATAGCCAGCAAGCAGCCCACACAATAACCTCAGTGAATTATTACCTCTGACCCATTCATCAAACCCAGCCAATCATCTGGTAGTGCAGAGTGATTTAAAGCCTATTACTGTAAGAGCTTTAATGTCTCTCACAGAATGCAACTGATCTGCAAATGTCAAAGGGGGGCTGAAGGTCACAATGGCCATAAATTAGGCCTTGGCTTACCACCTATGGAGTTAGAGGATCCCCCAGCACGCTAACGGTGTGACCCTTGAACATTCAACCGGTTAGCCCAATGCAGCCTGTCATCAACCCGCCCTCCTGAACTGGTGAGTCTGTACCGGCAAGAGCAAGCATGGTTCTGTGCAAGGCTGTGTGAGAGGCAAAGGGAGTGAGACAAAGAATTTGGGCTATGGAGAAGGGGTGAGGGAGACATTTTCTCCTGTTATGGATTGTCTATGTTTCAATGGAGCAGTCACCCTGAAGCTGTGTCCCGTGTCTCAACTGAGTGGGACCTGGTTAAAGAAGCCATGTTCGTCTCAGTCTCAAAACATGGCACAAAGGTACACAGCAAAAGAGGCTGGGACCAGTGTGGAGCGATGCTGGTTGACAGCATTATCCAGAAACTTTTATCTGTGCTTGGTGACAATAAGCCACTTAACAAGGTCCCGGCTCCTGTTTTGCGCTTGTGTCTGTTGCACTGGCTGCCTCATCTGGGAGATTCACTAGGTTAGCCTGGATGTTCTCTTCGGCCACTTGGCCGCCTGTAGGTTTCTCCCATGAGGCATCAGCTGAGCCTGACAGGAAGTGAAACAACATTGGGTGACACTCAGGTAGCGTTCGCGCTGCCTTAAATGAGAGAGTTGCCCGAGGAAGGACTGAGAATGGACTTTAGGCTCTAACAGTTATCTTTGCTATCTCTATGCGAAAGAACCATGCATATGCATTACGAGACAGTCTTTCATTACATGATCACATGCTATTTTTTTCCAGAGCCCCTACCTCATTCAGGAAACTGGATGGCCTGTGCACTGAGGATGACACAGGATCATGTAGTGGAGGCAGCTGTCTGGAGGACTCCTACCAAAATATGAAGAACAGCTAGGGGCTGTTACATAGATAGTGGAAATTGTCATAGCTCCAGTTTTAGGAACATCTTTTCAGCATGGTGATGTCAGAAGTAGGGCGCCCGAGAAAATGCTCCCTCGTTCCAGGCTTGCTAACTGAGAGAGTTGTAACGCCGGGAGTGATACGTTTCCAAGTTATGACTTGGAAGGCAGGAAGGAGCAGGGGCATTGGGCCCTGACTGGTGTGGTTGAACCAAGAGGAAGGAAGAGAATGGAGGGAAGTTTTCCAAAATGGCTGCATGCAGCCGAACAGGTGCATGCAGCTGGCACAATGGGCAGCAGTGTCCTGAAGAGACATGCGGTCCACAGCAGCCTGCCCCACCACCAGTGCTTCTGAAAGAGCGACCTTAGTTAGCAGGGAATGGGAGTACAAAATAACAAAAAAGCACCAAATCAGCAAACCTCCAAGAAAAGCCGCATTTGTCAAATGGGCCACAGCTGTTATTTCCATCTCAGTTGGCGATGTGTTTTTAGCAGCGGTTATTAAGTTAGTCTTTGTAAAATATACAGTTCTTGCAACCCCCTGTTGTTTTTCTTCATCAGCTTGTTTCACTGAGAAAAACAACACAGGGCCTGATCCTGAGAAGTGCTGAGCACCCGCACATCATTGGGAGCTACTGGTACTCAGTATCGCTCTGGATCAGACTCTTACTACAGCAATCAGATGAGTCTGATGCTGGAAGGGCCTTTCAAGTGCATGCAGATAGGGCCGGTGCACTCATTAGGCGACCTAGGCGGTTGCCTAGGGCACTGCGATTTGGGGGGCGGCGACCGCGGCGGTATTTCGGCGGTGGGATCTTCCGCCGCCTCTGTGGGGGGGCGGCATTTCGGGGCAGGACCTTCCGCCGTCTAGAGCGGCGGAAAAGCTGGTGGCACTCCTGCATGCAGATTACAGCAGAACTGAAACGCTACTTGGTTCATATAAATTCATATGGGTGAGATCCACATCTGGTATAAGCGCTCATAGCTCCAGTGAAGTCAGGGGAGCCACACGTGTCGCATCAGCAGAGGGTCTGTCTACCAAGTTCCATGCAGTTGTGCATGGGATTTTCAGACAAGACCTTACAAACCCAGGTCCATTCTTTTCTGCATGGACATTAAAGATCTCGAGGACCATTGTGTGTAAGTGACAGATCTTTGCCCCATGTCCTTGGCCAAACTTTCTCCCTTTCTGTTGGCTCTTTTGCTCTGTCCTGGCTGTTCTCTTTCCAGCTGGTGGCTGCCCTCAGCAGGACTGTAAGTATAAAGGTGCTGATTCTCCTCTGCCTTACACCAGTTTCACACCTGGTCAGTGGAGTGGCTCCTCCTTTACACTGGTGGGAGATGAGAAATAGGTTCAGCTTTCTCCTCCCACACATCTCCCCCTCATGGTCCCTCCACTGCCCACCATACACCTCTCCCTCTCTTCCCCTTCACTGCCTTCCTTTGTTTCCATACTCCCATGCTTCTATTCATTCTTCCCCAGACCGCCCAGCCACCCTGCCCCCCATAATAGCAATAAAAAAACCCTCCGGTGCCAACCATCACCTTGCTCATTCTCTATGTTATGTCCCTTTCCTACACCTTTAATCTGTCTTGCTTATTTAGATGTAAAGTCTTTAGGGCAGGGGCTGTATTCTCTTCCGTGTCCCAGCACAAGTGTTCCAATCCCGATGGAGGCCTTTGGTTGCTCCCAACATAAAACAATCCTATAGTTTGTATTGGACTCCTTTAGGCTAAGTGGCGCCACATCAGTCTAAAGCGTGAGGATGATTTTCCAAGTCTGACCAAGCTGTTGGGCAGGAAGAGGGATTGCAGGCCGCCTGTGTTTAATTAGTAAAGGGAAGCACCTGAGTCAAGCAGCCAGCTCCGGCATAAACAGCAGCCGGTGAATGCCACAGAGAGGCAACAACAACCACAGGCCTTTGGTTTGGTGGTGTAACTCTTTGGCGCTGGAATCTAGCCTCTAGTAGACTCCAGTAATGTTAACGGCAAGTACCTAGGCACGTGGTTAATTGCAGCTGGGAACTAAGCCACCTTTCTGATTGTTTATTTCATGCTTTTGTATGCACCCCCCCCTTCTCTGTCAGAAGGAGGGAATTCCTGCATTTGGGGGGATTCTCTTATACAGATTGTGGCCAGACTCTGAGCCTAACAAGCTATTTGTTCGGCCAAGTTCAGCTCGCAGGGACACTTGCATAAAGCCAGAGGAAGTCCATTGAAGTCAATGTCATTAGTAGTGTGTCTGAGTGCAGAGATTGGTCCATTGGCATCATTAGCGTTACTCTGTATTTACATCAAAATCAGAATCTGGACCCGCTTCTTGGAGTGAAGCTCTGAGGATCTGCATGAGATCAGAGGAGTCCATTTGTCATCTGTGCTACCCACGTGATTATATTTCTATAAAACACTGGTTGATTTTTTGTTAGGTCGGGGGGGGGGTTGTGTGCCTTAAACAAAAATATCTTCCCCTGACTCCCCTCTCTTAACTTTTGTTTTCTTTTAAACTTGACTCTCTACATTGCTCCGAGAGGGTTTATAAAATCCAGTGAGGAAAGAAACTAAGCGGGCTGAGTCACACAAGGGGAGGCATATCTAGGCCCATGCAGTTTACTGTGTGTCTGTCTCTTAGATGAGACAGTAAGGCTGAGATTTTCCAACACTACCCTAAAGGAGTTGAACATTCAGTTATTGCCAAAGTCAATGGGAAATGGGCACTCAAATGCCATAGGCAGCTTGGCATATTGCAGCCCCAACTAGCCCCCTAGTTTGTGACAGGTCAGGTGTGCAATTGCATGTGTAGAAAGGCTCATGTGTGCACTTGCATGTGGAATTTGTGCATGCAAAATTACCATCTTTGCATCCATAAATTGGGTGCTTGCACACTTCTCTCCCTTTGTGCCACTCAGGAGAGAGCTGGATGCTGCCAAGAATCTGGTCCAGGGTATGAACAAGTATATGAACAAAACCCGATTTGCCGTGATTATCTGCACAGAATTGTGTGTGCACGGTGGCATGCCTCACCTTGCTGAAAACCCAGACCTTAAACGCACTCGCTTTTATTTCTCTAGCTATTCTCCCAGCTGAATTTTAGTGTGCTTACATGGCAGAATGTCAATATCACGTGCTAAATTTCCTATTCTTGCTGCCAGCCTTGAAAGACAAATACGGTTAGGAAAGAAAAAGAAACGATACAACCGCCGACATCAGGACTTTTCCTGAAGCAGGCTGGATGGCAAAACGTTAGGAATGTTAGGAATTCCCATTACGGCTCACCATTAAACTTGATCCTTTGGGAACACCCACAACATAACCAGTCCCAATAAAATCGACTTAAGCCACTCTTGGATGTAGCGCTCTTTGGTTCCCTTTGAAAAGGTGGAGCATGTGTCTCGGGCGTCGTTTGATGTGCTCCTGTGAATAATATTCCAAGGTGCTATAGGTCTGAAACATCAGCATGGCTGGAGCCAAGAGGGGGTAGCTCTGTGTGCAAACAGGATTGGACAGGACTAGGCATTCAGTGTGTTGGGGCTGATTCTTCCTGGTGGTGCACCTTGTGGAGTTGTGCGCACCAGGGCAAAGTGAGTGTGAAACGCCACTGAATCAGGATGGTGGCTTGTTTACACTTGCTCGACACTGGAGGAGTGACGGCACAAGATGCAGGACAAGGAGGCTCAGGCACATGTAGTGTTTTACCTGGAAAATGCACAGAGATAGAGCGCTCCTGTGCAGAACAGGAGGGCAGAGCTCAGTTCAAGAGCCTTTCTCCCAAACTAGCAGACACACTTCAACAGGAAATAAAAGCCCCTTCTTTCATAAACAGGCCCATTGCTTTCTTTTCAGGCAGCCCCTATAACAGAAACTCCAGCAAGGCAAGGTCTTCAGCTCTTGGCTGGTTGGTCTAGCCGAGTCCGAAAGCCAAAAAGAACTAAAACAAAATAGACACTTGGGCCTCAAGGAGCCCTGTCAGTGAGCAGAGAAAGGATCTCTCCAACACATCCACAGCCGCCCTATTACCGTCCTACTCACCGTACATATGGACTTCTTCCCTTTGAGCACCTGTGATGATTCCTCTGGGTCCAAGTTTCCCCCTTCATCAGGTAAATGTCATCTCACTTGAGGCAAATGGGTGCAGGGGGGAAAGACCAAAATCACGAGGTTCCCTTTAGGATCCCGAATGGTCTGCCTAGCACCCCATCATAGGAAGTCAAGTCAAAAGGAAACAAACGCTCTTCTATTGCTCTGGAATTAATGTAAATACAGTGAAGATGCTGCCATCATGTACGGTCAAAGACAAGACGTGAAATGTTGTTACTTTGGCAAGAGAGGATTATCTTTAAATAACTTCCTTAAAGTTAGCTGGGCAGAGTGCCTTGTTCTGAGTTTTGATTGCAGCAATCTATACAGTTCATGCTGCAGCCAAGACCTAAAATAAGGGAAAGCTACATTCCAGAGTACATGCCTGATCCAAAGCCCATTGACGTCAATGGAAAGACTTCCATTCACTTAATTAGACTTTGGATCAGGCCCTCGGTGGAGAATACGCGATTGCCAATTGACTGCAGACAGTGTTTGCTGAAGACCCATATACGATTACATGCTGAAGTCAAAGTACGCCTTCCAAAGTCTCAGTACCAGCAAAGGCTCGTGCCGGTTAGCCAGGGAAATTTCCTCCACTTCTGTGGAAATTCTCCACAGAATTGCTGTGCTGTTAGCTTGGAGGAAATCAACAGCAAACCCATCCATAAATCAGGAGTTACCAAGTGCCGATAAGGTGTTAAATTTCAAGCTCACGAGGCCATCTTTCTAACAATGACAATCGAAAGGGAGAGCATGAATTCTTTTACACGGAAAAAAAATTCTTGGAAAAACCACCCCCTTTTTGTTTGCCTGTGAATACACTCATGTGTTTTAGATTTCTGCACTGCTCTCCTGCCCGTTAGATGGGAGCACAACGCAACCTGAACGCTTTCACTCTCACGCCAAACCAGGAGATCAAAGTGCCACAGCCGGGCTTGAACCATTAAGCCATTTCAAAAGACACAGAACTAAAGTGCTGCCTGATGTACAGACAGCCCATGTTGAAGGGGCCTGTTCATTCAAGAGGAAGGATGGCCTACTAGTTAGAGTACTAACCTAGGACTTGGAAGGTCTAGGTTCAAGTCCCTGCTCTGTCACAGACCTTCTGTGTGACCTTGGGCAAGTCACTTAGTCTCTGTGTGCCTCAGTTTCCCATCTGTGCAATGGGGCTAATGCCACTGCCCTACCCTTCAGGGGTGCTGTGAGGATAACTACATTAAAAGAGTGTGAGATGCTCAGATACAATGGTGATGGGAGGGCATATAAGTACCTTTGATAGATTCTGCCGGCTTACTGTGAATTCAGTGCCAAGCCTGGGGAACGTGCTGCACTGACATACTTGCAGGGTGAAGTCCTCTACCTAACCACAACAGGTACAGCATTGGCGGTGCTAGCTGCCTGCATGCCATCCCTTGTGCCTCTGCCTTTGCGGGGCCATGGGCCTGATCCACAACCCTTCAGAATCAATGCAAAGACTGGATTTCAGTGAGCTCAGGAAGATGGGTTAGTTCCGTCTCCATTCAGTTCTTGGCCTCTCTGACGAGGCAGCCAGGCAGTTTCATGGTTTTGTGACACAGGCATTTGACTGCCAACTTATCTCATGTAGTCCATCAAATAGCCAGTAAACAAGGACTTTTGGTCACTCATGACCAACTGAGGCTGGATTCAAACTGGGAAGCTAGAGGTCAGAGTCTCTGTATCCCATTATTAATCTCTCTGAGCACTCTAATCTCCTGCTGTTTTACGTCCGGGCTTCTTGGAATGGCCATCCGTAGTGTTTCTTTCCCTTGCTGCTGCTCCTTTGACTTTGTTCGCTGGTCCGTGATGGACCCTGAAGCACTATTCATCTATTAAACTGATTAATGTATTGTGTCTATGATACGCAAAGCAAGGTCCGACTCAAAGAAGATAATAGCTGAGCAATCGCTCCCTTCCTATTGTAGATAAGGTACGGCTAACAATGGCATTAGCTATAAAGAGGTAGATCACTTTCCTGGATATAATGGGGTAGCTGGTGGATTGTGAAAGGGTTTCTGCTTAAAGTTTATCAGCCTGATTTCCAGAGGTGCTCCGTTGAAGTCAGTGGGAGCTCCAGGCTTCCAGCACTTTTGAGAAGGCCAAAAACTAGCTGTGTACAGAATCAGAGTTGAATTTAGATCTGAAAATGGATTTAGTGCCAACCTCCTCCCAAGTCATGCGTTCCTTTTCATTACCAAACCCTCCAGCAAGAGCATGAAAGGCATGCCGGTGTTAAAATGCAGGTTGGATAACTGGACTTATTTGGCTCGTTTATAATTAAAAATTAATAAAGTAACGATCAAGTAAGTTATCTAACCCTGGGTGTGGCATCTCAAAAGAGTCATCTTTTTAAATAGCATGGTTCATGTTTCTACAGCTTTTCCAGTTGATGTTCTCTTTTCATTCACAAATAAAACATGGACTTACTATGCGGGAATATTGTAAAAGGGGAAACCTGTGCCCTAAACCTTTAGGATTAAATAGTGCAAAGTAGTAAAATCCTAAAGGAGAAGCCAGGAGATCATGAGGGTAACACCGAGCTTGCTAAAATGTCTGAACTAATGACTGCTTTCCCTCTGATATGTCTCGAGTCAGAGCGAACGTGCCCCTGGATGGCTTCATGCAGTACTGCTTGGACTGCCTGATTCATAGCCATAGACTATGTTTCCCACTTCTGTTTTTCTAGCCTACTTAGTTTTGTGACAAGCAAGGGAAAAATATCTCAGTGGGAAGGAAGCTTCTGTTCTAGGACTGCTCAAAGAAAAACAAGCGATATCAGGAACAGGCCAAAAACTACCTTGATCCCTTTTGGAAAGTAACTAGTTTCCCAGATGAAGATTTTCTCCCAAACTGCAATTTTTAAAAGGCAAGAAAAATGTGATTATGGGAAGAACAATTCTAGGAAAGAAAATTAAATCCATTTCAGATTTGGGTTTTATGTTCCTTTTTAAATGGAAGATGCCAGGTGAATGGAGGGAAACATTTAAAACACCACCAAGTGTCTTCAAGGCAGTTAATTGCTGTCATAGAGTCTAGAATAGTTTATATGCTAACCAGCATATAGAGGTGACATTGCATTTGTCTTTTATTAATGAGACGCTCTTTCCTCCTGTGATGTCACACAGTGAATGGCAAACAGTGGCGCTGGAACACTTTTACTAGTGGGGGTGCTGAAAGCCAGCCCCCTTACCCCTGTCTGTGCCTCCACCCCCACCCCAGAGCTGGGGCCGGGAGCAGGGCTGTCTCTAGGGGCGGGGGGGACCTGGACAGGGCTAAGGGGGCTGAGTCTGGGCTTGGGCGCAGGCATTTGACTGCCAGCTTATCTCATGATGTCCATCAAATAGCCGGCAGCTGGGATCCCGTGTGCAGGGCCGGGAGTTCAGTCCCGGGTATGAGGCGGCAGCCAGGACTCCACATGCGGGGCAAGGAGGAGAGCACAGGGCTCGGGGCTGGCAGCTGGGACCCCGTGTATGGGGCCTGGAGCGGAGCCAGGGTGGCAGCCAAGACTCCCGTGTGGTAGGCCAGAAGCAGAACCCCACGTAAAACCTGAGAGTGCTGCAGCATCCCACGCACCCCTAGTTCACGTACCTATGGTGGCAAATATATTTCCTTTCCAGGCGCTTTGTGGTCACTGACAGTGAGCTACTGGACTAAAGCTGGGAAGGGGGAGCAGTGCGTCCTGAAATGCCTGTGACAGGTCTGGCTCTGTGGGAAGAGGAGAAGCAGCACAGACTCATTATGGGCTAGAACCAGGTAGGACAAGAAAAGGATCTGTGCATATTATGGGTGAGCTGTGGTCAAAAAGCTATCTTCTTCCAAGAGGCTCTCTCCAAACTAAACATGGCCTTTGGTTCCCACTCTGAAATCAAAGGTGGTCCTTTGATGACCTCACCACCTCCCTTGGCCAGAGAGAGCCTAGAGCTTTGCATCCTGGCTTTAAGATATGAGACGTTCGTATCTTACGTCTTACAGGTCACTGAATGAGACACCAAGGCCAAATTTCCAGTTCCACACAGTTTGCCTTTTTTTTTTTTATAGCAGAGTTCAATCATACATGGTCATTATATGCCTGGTCCCAGATGCTGTGGCTATCCAAGTAACTGTCTCATCCAGCTTTGGGAGTCCTGGCTGTTTAGGTCCTTGCAATAAGCAGAGAAAGAGAGAGACTTTGAGGCTAGTGCCAGAATGATGCTCTTGGAGGCTGAAGTCCTCCACCTACAGAACTGGACCAGCATAGTCAGCGACATGGCAAGCTTTGCCCAGCAAATGTGCCTCTTCCCACATCTGGTGATTCTTGACTGGGTTATCTATTCACTAAGACCCACTCAAGCTTTTCTGAGACTGCCAACTAAGTTTTAACTGTTGTGGGTTTTGAAACATGGGCATCTGTCCACTGGGAACTGGACTGAAACCACTAACAACATCTGATAGACTGGGCTTGAGTTGATGACCTGGAGATGAAAAGCTCCTCATCTCATTCCCAGTCCTCTGAGCCATCCAATCCCCAACACCCACACCACCCCTAAGTCCCTAATAGTTCTCTAATAGAAAATAACAGAAGCCCAAATACTTGCCACGCAAAATTGAAGCTTAATCCATGTTTCCTATAAGGGTTACAGCAAACCTTTGTCGAAGCAGATATGTTAATCTACCTTTTGGTGCAGAGCACAGTAGGTTTTCAGCTTTAAATTACCATTGCACAGGAACTAATGGCCCTTACAATGGAACTGACTGTGGAAAAACAAGGAACCTGAGCAATTATTAGGTATATATTCCCAGTGAAAACAACTCATTGTCAGTAAAATGCATGATTGATCATCTGGGTCTAGCTCACTTTCATTTTCTTTCCAAGTTGCTCTACTGTATGATGTTAATAGTACTGCAATTATTTTAATGAACTGCACTAAGGGAATTTACAATGTGAATAATTCGGATGCTACCAAGCTGGGAACTCTGACAAGCATTTCTTACTAAGGAGTCACATATTGCACACAAAAGGGGCGCTGGCCTGGGTCCCTACAAACATCCAACTTTGGGAATGACTGAGGTATGAATTTACAAAGGTGCACTTTGAATACCTGGTACGATGCTACACATTCAAGGCCTGACCCAAGGCCCATTAAAGTCAGTGGAAAGACTTTAATAAGCAGTGGATTAGACCCTAAAGCTGCATTCTTTATACATGCAAAACTCCCATTGCATTCAAAATGAATGGGCGTTTTGGGTGCATAAAGAATGCAATATTGGGCCACAAGACAGAGAACTGTTCAGTTTGATGTCGTGCAGGGATACAGCCATGTCTCCTGTCGGTAACATTAATGGAAGGTACACGGTTACATTCTTGCTTGATGGGCTAAATAAATGGGGTTGATTCAATCTCAGTGAAAAGCAGGTGCATCTCAGCTCCCTTGAAGCCAATGGGTTTATATTAGTTTAAAGTGAGGGGTAAATCAGGCCCAATTGTTTCCCACTCTAAGATTATGAGTGATCCAGTGCAGCTCTAATAACTGACCCACACTGCTACATCACACTCAAGCTGAACTTTTTGGGGGGGCGGGGGGAGGGATGGGAAGGAAGGAAAGAGAGCTCAGGAAAAGTTGATTTCACTTAATACACATTTCTATGTGTGACTTCTGGTCTTTTGCACCAGACTGGCTATTCTAATGCTATTCCTGGCTCAACCATAAGTGAGAAGGACCAGACAACACCACAAGAGAGCTTGTGAGGACATTTCCCTGCTGATTCGAGAGGCTGGGATAAATGCTGAAGCTACGGGAGTCGAGACAGGCCCACAGCCAAGTTCCAATCCCAGCCTGAGGCTTCCCATAGCTTGTGAGTGTTTGCATCCCTGGGGGCTGATGGCTGCTCCGCAGTGGGTCAGAACTAGGCCTGCCTATCACTGCGGAAGGACCTGCAAGCTAATCCATTGCACGTACGGAAAGATCTATAAACACGCTGTCATAGCCATTTGGGGGAAGCCTTCAGCCCAATACAGAGCCCAAGGGCCTGGCCTAGGTGCTGGGGCGATGCACAGAGGGAGAAGCATCTTCCCCACTAGCCCGCAGAGTGACTCCACCCCTGCTTTACCAAGGTTTTGTTCCCCTTGTACTCCTCCAGCTTGAGGAGAAGACTGTAGAATCTGTGCTGGGCAGATGCTTTAGTTCTGCCCTAGCCTGATGATACCCCACCTGCACGCGCCTCCTGCTTGGCTCTATGGCCGATCAGCTGTGTGAACCCCCAGTGCATCCTGTCCCAATTCCAGCCCCCTGCCTTGTGCAGCTGCGCCACACTGGCTGCAGAGCTGGGGGTCTCTGTGTGGCTACGGAGAGGGGGGCTGCATTTGCCCCTTAAGGACATACCCTGTGTTTCTTACTCAGTGTTTAGTTGTATCTGAGGGAGACAAACTCCCAAGGAGGAGAAGCTGTGGCATTTGGCCCTGGGCTTGTAGCAGAGTGAGTGATCCCCTAATTTCTACCATTCCCTGGAGTCCATTAGGATTAAGAAACACTGATCAAAGACGGACATTCCCATTTCATCTTGTGGCAGCTGCTGCTGTGGCAGCTAAGAAGGTGAAATGGGAACTGCATGTTCATGCAGAAATGGCAGGGCAATAAAAATCGATGCAAAATAGAAAAAACCAACCCCACACCGGATGATATTTTATTTCAAATGTCCTCAGAAAAGCCAGGGACCAAATCAAAGCGTGGGGCTCAAAGCTTCTCCACGACATCGATGAGCTGCATTATTCTGGACAGACCCGTTAGGCTCTTTGGAAAGGTGTGTCACTTGTTTTCTGCAGCCCTACAACAACCTGAGATGTTGTAAAAATAGCTGACAATGTCTGATTGACAGCTGAGGATGTGACCCTAAACTCTGATGTTTTCCTTTTCCTGGTGAAATCAATGGTGCCTCAGACAGATGCTGAACTACATGTGTTTGCGGTGGGAGTGCCATTTTAGGCCAGTTTCTTTTGAAAGGGGGGTTGGAATTGCGAAGGATCAGTGGCGCTCCGGGCTCACAAAGAGGCACTGTCTTTGAGGAATCTTTACATAAGCCCCGCAGAACCAAGGCAGCAGGAGTTTGCACAGCTGCTGCTGGAAGCAAACATGTACTTTTAGCTGACCTGTGCTGATGGCTTTGGGCATTAAATCTGACGCTTTCCAGATGTACAGCCCTCTCTTGCCACAATCCAAAAACATTTGGTCCCCAGGTTAAAAAAAAAAAAGGTGCTGTAAATACCACATTGTACTATATATTCCAGAGCCTACATTCACAATTTCACTCTAAGACCTTAAGGTGTATACTGAGCTGGGAATTTACAAGGAGGGTTTCAAAATAAGTTTGGTTCAAAGTTAGTTACTGTGCCAGTCTTCATAATTCTTTGCTCTTGATTGGGGCTTTTTCTTCATCCGAATGAGGCTCGTTAGCCAGCGTTTCTTTTAATTTATTAATTCTAAGTTAGCCATAAATCCAGTGACCTCTGCAAATGCAAACATAAGACTCCTATTGATTTTGCTGGGCATTCAAATGAGCCCCGAAACCATTGGCAGGGAAACGGAAGCCTTCAAAATAATTTGCAGATATGCCTTTTGTAAAAAAAAACAAAAAATATTTGATTCAGAGCCAGGGGTTTCGATCCTGGGTAGGATCAGAACTTTCTGGGGAACTTGGGACCCAGGCTGAGATTTGGGTCGGGGACAGCCGCATTGCCATGGGCAGAAAGTTGTGCTTTAGTTTAAAGTCATGACTGAAATGCGGAATGGCACTGACAGTTCCATGACGTGTGCAGTCGTTGGTGTGACAAGACTCGCTATTATTGGATAGTGTGGGGAGGCTGGAGAGGAACACGGTTTTGTATTTAGAAAGGATACGGGACTGGTAGTAATAGAAAATCAAGCCTTCTGGTGAACCAGAGGCCAGTCTGGTGCAGACAGCTGCGGCATGAGCTCTCTTCAGACCACCCTGCCAATTCTCTCAAGCGTGACCTGGACTGAAGGACCTTGAAAGGAAAAGGTGATTGGCTCAACTACTCCTTCCTTTTCCTCCAGCTTGCCATCTGGGTTGAGCGGGAAGGATCCTGTGCACTAGCATTGTCACAGGGCCCAATTCTGATCTCATGCATGGTATTGTGAATCAGGAGTAACTCCAGTGAAGTCAGAGGTGCAAGTGAGATCAGAATCGGTCCCAGAAAACCTACAGTGACTTAAGGACTCAGCTGAGGTTACTGATTTGGATTCCGTCTATGAGTGTCAGCTGAATTCAGATGTCTGGTCTTAGAGATGAAAGATACAGAGATAAAAATAAAACTCAGGTAAAAGAATTAACTGACGCCTAAAAGGGACCTGAATTGAGATTATATCAACATAGAGTCATAGCCAAACCAGAGAAACATAGATTCATAGATTCTAGGACTGGAAGGGACCTCGAGAGGTCATCAAGTCCAGTCCCCTGCCCGCATGGCAGGACCAAATACTGTCTAAACCATCCCTGATAGACATTTATTTACATAACTAGCTCACATGCATATATAAACTCCCATTCTGGAGTCATGCTGATCTCAGGCATTCAGAAAAGTGGGGTACCCAGCTGATGTTCCCTTCTTTCTGACTGCCTGACATTCACTAAACTCCCCAGCTTGGCTTGACCTGTTTACAGGCGCCTTTCCCAGCATGTTATCCTGGTAGCTGGCCCTTTAAATCTGGGAAAGGCAAGTAGCTGCAGCCCAAGCATGGGTATTTTACTTCTTATTGCAGTAGAGCTGCAAGTCCCTTTTGTGAGGATTTAGTTTCTTTCAGCTTCTCTTTCCTTCCCCCTCTCCTCTGACTCCAGGGGAGTGGCTGTGTTCAAGGGGTGAGCACGGCTTAGGACAGCACAGAGCTCGGAGAAGTCCATGTGATCTGAGTTTTAATAAGATCTGAGCGTTATTCGGACTTTCCGTCCCACATTTCAGTGTTTGTTTTTGTCCCAAACTGGGACAAAAAGTTGAAATTTCGAAATTGTTCATGGAACAGAGATTCTCAAAAAATTCAAGTTGGAAACGCCAACTGGTTTTATTTTGACATTTTTTGATTAAAATGAAACATCTTAACATCCCCACAAATCTCAATATTTCATTTCAATTTGTTGAACTCACCTGAAGTGCTTTGTTTCCAGTCAGTTCAACATTAAATTCCATGTTTTCATTGTGGCGCATTGCCTCATGGGAGCTATAGTTCAGGAGCCTGACGCCCCCATTTTCACTGGCTGGACTACTTCTCCCATGATGCACCATACCAAGCTTGCTTGGAAGGTAAGCCACATTGCATGAGGGGAGATGTAATCCTCCGGGGAGCTTGGCCCATAGGTGAGAATGGGGGTCTAATCTACAAAACCCGTAAGGCAATGTGCTGTTAGGGAAATGCAGTTTGTTTTATTGAACTAATTCAAAACAAAAAGTTTGGGGTCAGTTCAACAAAATGAAATATTCCAATTTGGGTCAAACTGACGCAAAATGAAATATTGCTTTTAGATTTTCCCAATGGGAAACTGAATTTGGGAGGAGGGCCAAAACCAAGATTTTTCCCATGGAAATTTTCAATTTTGCAGAAACTTCATTTTCCATCAGAAAATCATCCCAACAGAAAATTCTCCACCAATTCTAGTTTTTGTCTAAGTGCATATCTTTAGGGCCGGATCCAAAGCCCACTGACGTAACTAGGAGTCTAATCATTGCCTTCGGTAGGCTTCGGATAAGGTCAGAAGTTTGCCAAAGTACACTCTATAAACCTAAAAATAAATTGCAAATCTAAGTCATCGAGGGATTTTCTCCAGTCACTAGAATGATCAGCCATATCCCAAAACAAAGGCGCCGGCTGGAGAGAGTGACCTATTTATCAATAAAGTAACAGTGTGCTTTTGCAGCCTCAGTCACTGGAATGCTCTGCGTTATTCCTGAGCCCAACAAGGAGGGAGGTAGCATTATGCAAGCTGCATTAATCTGCAGCAAACCGCTAACAGATCCTTACAAATAATTTCCCCATTAAGTGTCAACCCCAGAGGGGACAGATGGGATGTGTTGCTGCATGAGAGGATTCCTAAATTGGTTTCCCCGCTCAAAGAACTACAAAGAGCTGTGCTGCCCTGTTTAAAAAACATTTGTGTTACAAGCCTAGTCCCGGCGAGGAATCTTGCCCCAGCTGTAACATGTAACAACTTCACTCTCTGCCCTGGGAAGTGGAGATGTCCCTACTATATGGTCTGGGGGTTGCTCTAATTACTGCAGCCTCCCGAGGCCTGTAGATGAGCTATGTAACAGTCCAGCATCTCTGTAGCACCATATGTTACACAAGTATCCCTCTGCTTCTCCCCCTACCTTGCCCCCAGTCCAGGCTTGGCAAGGTGGGGCTATGTAGAACTGATTACATCGGCCCAACACTGCCTGCTCTAGGGGAATTCTCTTCCTGCCCTTTGCGGCATTCTGACTACCCGCTATACCTCCACAGAGATGTATAGGGGCCAGGCCTGGGGAGAGGGTCTCTCCCCTAGTTGGAGGAACCTGTTAAAGGGGGGGGGAAGTCCTTTGCCGCAGTTAACGCATGGTTTAGCACAGCATGTAGATGGGGCGGAGTGCAAGGGCTGTAATACACTCAGGGGATGGAGTTAAAACATGCCTAGGTCCTAGCTGCACTGCAAGCAGGGCCGGCGCAACCCATTAGGCGACCTAAGCTGTCACCTACGGCGCTAACATTTGGGGGGTGGCGACCGCGGCGGCCGGATCTTCAGCCGCCCTGTTCGTCGGCGGTATTTCGGGGGCAGGACCTTCCGCCACCTAGGGCAGCAAAAAAGCTGGCGGCGCTCCTGACTGCAAGAGTCAACCACACTGCAGGACGGGTGTAGCATGTTTTGTTGCACAATATCTGAGGCAGGTACCGGGTGGGTTTGGTGATGGCTGGGCTCAGTTTGAGCTGTGGGAGAATGTTCCGGTCATCACTAATTTCATTTACACTTGTTCCCCCCATTTTCACCTTTCATCAGGGAGAACCATCCATGCACGTCTCGGAGACACCACGAGGTCCTGCACCAGTGCCACAGGAGTCCAGCCATGACCTTCCTGCTATTTCTAAGGTAAAGAACAAGCAAAACCCCTGCCCCCCCCATTTTCCCCATAAAACCTTTCCAGCCTTCTCTACCTAGCATCCAAAAAGGTACAAGCCCAACGTTTACAAATTATTTTCCACGTCACCTTTAAATCTACACTAGTTCTGGTTCTTCTGGCTTCTTTTTATTGTATGAATTATATTTCCCCCCTCCTCCCCACACGCACGCACGCACTGGCCTGCTAAACCCAGGGTTGTGAGTTCAATCCTTGAGGGGGCCACTTAGGGATCTGGGGAAAATCAGTACTTGGTCCTGCTACTGAAGGTAGGGGGCTGGACTCGATGACCTTTCAGGGTCCCTTCCAGTTCTGTGACGTAGGTTGGTTTTCTGTTTGCAAGGTGCTGGAGATGGAGCCCTGTCTTATGCACCAAAAAGGTATAGTCCCCTTCCCCGCCGGTGACTTCCATGACCAATGCGTCTGCATTGACTAGTCCAGTCTCCAGGGACCAGTTCAACCTTGGTATCTCTACTGAGGCTGCCAGTCATGGTTGGGAGGTTCATGATGCCGACAGCTGTGCTCTAAGAACTCCCTAATTTTGCGTAGGCCATCAAACAATCATCAGCTGGTCACAACTGACTGGAGTCAAACCAGTGCCCCAGAGGGGAAAGACTGCAATAGAGGTGCCACTGGTAATCCACTGAGCCATCTCTAAAAATTACAAACAAAGCAAGATCTTTTCTGGACTCTCTCAAGGACTCCCTTCCAGCCCCTGATTAGCACCTGTAACTCCCATGGGCGATACCTGTGAGAGCAGAGGTGAGAAGAAAACCCTTAATCCCCATGTGATATAATCTTCCCCATCCCCCCCATTCATTCCTGTCAGTGTGCCCACTGCAGCCTTTTATGGATTGCTTTGCCAGCGCTGACAGTGAACTCTTCATTATAATTACAGTGACTCAACCCTGTGTGGTTTACCTGTTACTTTGTCCTGTTAGCTCAGCTGGCCTGAGTCACCTTCAGGGGCAGAAAAAGTATTGCCATGTCTCAGCTGTAAAGCGTCAGTAACTGTTTACATCTTGTTGGCTAATGGATCATTAAAGATAATTAAAACTAAGCCATTGCCTGCAGATGCTGCCATTTTATGGGTATCTGTGTCACACTCCGCTTTATTCAGAGTAGAAACAAACTATAATTGTGGCTTGTGTGACGACCGTTTTAGTCTGAACATTAGTGCATACCAGTCTCTGTGATCCAATGCCTCTGACTATACTTTGGTCCAGTTAGAAAGCGGAGTGTTTTGAAATGTGAGCCCTCAGAGATCAGTTCCACTGAGTCAAAATACACCCAGCTGGGGTTTCTCTTTTAAGAGTGAACAGGGGGGAGAAATCATTCTTCTTCTGGAATAGCAAGATGATCATCAAGGAGATAAAGAGTGTGAATTCGCTCCTCTGGTCAGATTAATTACCACTGGCTGACATTCACCTGATTTTCCTTCCTTGGAACCTCCTCAGAGGCTGCGTTCAAATGCTCGCTCCTGGCCCTTGCCCCATTTTTATAAGGATTGCTGATTAAACGATGCTGAGAACGGCCTCCCTTCCACCACGGTGGTCAGAGAGGGAGATTAACCAAATCTGCTGGTAAACCTCACTTACGCTGGGTGCGTTGCCAATCCCTTTCATTTGCTAATCCAGATACACTGATTCCAGGTAATTGTACCCATTCATTTCCTGATTGGTGTAGTCTATACTAACTCCACAAACCACAGGGAAACCTGAAACCCCAGATGGGGAACTTTGCTCCTGCAAGCTGCTCTCTTAGGCGCAGATCCTCATTTGGGCCCTGTGTAAGGAGGAGAGTAGCATTCGGAGCACCTACATTGCTCATAGGCACATATTGCCTTGCCTGTGCTAGGCTTTGCTGCCAACAATGTATCCCCCTTGCTCCCACCAATTCTGCAGGAGCGATAATATAGGCAAGATACTGGCAGCTGCGTTGTCACCACCCTGCCATGTGCTCACCCTTGTGGGAGGGAAGGTGGCCCAGCAAGCCAAGCGCTGGGACTCAGAAGACCTGGGTTCTATTCCTCTCTCTGCCATTGGCCTGCAGGGGCAAATCATTTCTCCTCTCAGGTTCCTCATCTGTAAACTGGGGAGGGTCACTCTGACCTCCTTTGTGAAGTGCTCTGAGATGGAAAATGCTGTATACGAGCAAGGCATTATCTTTATCTAGACCTACTGCACAGCACAGTGGGATGAACGCTAATGGCAACAGGATCCTGGTGTGAAGGACGTGGGAGCCGCCCAGGTGGCTGGCTGTTCGTGTGCTGTTTGCTGTAGGATTACAGCTGGAGCTAAAGGGGGAGTCACTTGTGATAGGCCCCATTCACTGATACTTCGTGGCCAAGGCAGGTGTCACTCACTCACTGTGAAGTTTTACCTCTGACCGTGCTGAGTTCAACAGCCCAGCCTGGTGCTGGGAAAGGGGAAATCCAGGCAGGAAACCGGACATGAGAGGGAATAAAAACACCACCCCCAAGTGCGGCAAAGAGAGTGGCAAAGGCTGCTGGGAAGGGGACTGAACTCCAGTCCCCAGGGTTGAGGGTGTCGGGGGTGGGCTAGGCCTGACTAAGCCTATAGGTAAGACAGAGGTGTGTATAGACCTTGCCCGGTGTCCAGGCCCTTTGCTCTTGCTGCACCGTGTTCCCACAGTTGAGTTAAACAACACTTTGGTTTGAAAAGGCTGTTCAGATCACTTCCTGAAGGGAAGATCTGCAGGATCCGAACCCCGTCGGGCCTGCTGAGCAATCACGCAGGCAGGGGCTGTAGTGCCAGGCCCAGTCCAGGAATGGGGGAATTGTGGGAATCCATCCTTGGCCAGGTGACGGCAAGAGGCCTCACTCCTTAGGGAGGTGCACTCAGAAAGACCATGGAGGGATCAAAGGTTCAGCTAACCCTGAACGGGGACCGAGGGCCCTTGCCATTGGAGTTGAATTGGTGAGAGCCATGGTGGGGGATTTGGGGCGGAGAAGCCTTGTGTGGACATAGTATTCATGTGCCCCTCAGGTATCACTTAATCTAATTTAATCTCTGATACGAAGAGTGCCACAAAGGCAGCTGGCACTTTAGAGGTACCCAAGAAGTGAAAGGCACCCGCTCCAGAGCACTTGGAATCCAGCTCGGTCAGCTGCATGAGCAGGGACGACAGTCGCAGGGCAAGAGTTTTGGGAGTGTCAACATGGGAAAGTGGTGAGAAATTGTTACGAGGTGTGTGTGGAGAAGGAGGGTACTTGGCATGTGGCTTGGGAGGTTGTTCCAGGCACAAGAGGCTGTGTGAAATAAAGGCATGCAGGCAAGAATAGCAGCAAGTGAAGTTTGTGAAGAGGGTTGGGAGGATTTGGGGGGAGCAGGAGTAGGTGGGAGGAAAAAGGTAGCCAGGACAGAGTCCTGTAGGGCTTTGGAGGTCAGAAGAAGGCACTTGAGAAGAAGGCTGTAGATAAGGACAGGGAGCCAGCTGAGGGATTTGGGGAGCATTTGGTGCAGTGGGAGAGGAAGATGATGGTGGCAGAGTGGGCTGGAGAGGTAAGAACCTGGGAAGCCAGAGAGTAGGTGGTTCTCACAGGAACTGTATGGCAGTGGTTCTCAACCAGAGGTACACGTACCCCTGGGGTACGCAGAGGACTTCCAGGGGGTATATCAACTCATCTAGAGATTTGCCTAGTTTTGCGACAGGCTACATAAAATGCACTAGCAAAGTCAGAACAAACTAAACTTTCATACAGACAATGACTTGTTTATACTGCTCTATACACTATACACTGAAATGTAAGTACGATATTTATATTCCAGTCGATTTATTTTATAATTATATGGTTAAAAGGAGAAAATCAGCACTTTTTCAATAACAGTGCTGTGACACTTTTGTATTTTTATCTCTGGTTTTGTAAGCAAGTAGTTTTTAAGTGAGGTGAAACGTGGGAGTACGCAAGACAAATCAGGCTCCTGAAAGGGGTACAGTAGTCTGGAAAGCTTGAGAGCCACTGGTCTATGGTCCTGCTGATGCCGATGAATACACCAGAGAGCCCAGCATCATAGCCCCCGATGACCTGTCAGGCTGCTCCTCCCCCTGCACACCGCAGAGGTCAGTGTGGACGTTTCAGCGCCTGCCTCCGCAGTCAAACGTTGAATTTCAATAGCAGTATTTGCTTCTGATGGGGCAGCCACTTAATTCTGCCTGATCCAGGAGCAGAAGTCAGACGTTGGGGAAGTTGGTCTCTTTCCTTCCCCTTGTAATGCCCCTCTGTGCACTGAATATGTATTTTTTTCCACATGTAGTGAAATGGAGTTTGCCTCCACTAAAACAATCGTGTGATCAGCCTGTTGTACCGCAGGCACCATGCTTTCTTGTCTGTCCTTCGTCATTCACCGCCCTCACGCTCTCGTTTCTCAGGGCGGCTTTCTCAGCCCAGCCATTTTCTGCGCTTGCGGGTGTTAAGTTGTGGCAATAATAATCCTGGCCCTGGTGAGAATACCGAACGTGTCGTTTGTTGATCCTGGATGGCTGAGTTGTACTACTGGCTGGCTGGCTGAGCTGCTAGAACTGGCAGACGGAGCTATTTCCAGTGCGTTCCTCTGACAGGGGAAAGTGTGTTTTCAGATTTCTTCTTTCTTCTCCCCCCTTGGAGCCAGCAGCTGCCAGAAAGCTTTGGAGAGGAAACTTCAGAGTTCTTCTGTAGCTCTCGCCTGTGGACTGCGAGCAGGCAGAGTTGGCAGGGCTCTTGCTGCAGGCTGGAGAATACTCTGCAAAGCCGTTCGTCAAGTTCATGCTGCTTTAATCGTAGCCGTTTTCCTCCTGCTGGGGTTGGTGACACCGTAGGGGGCGCCTGTCCCTGGGATCCAATAATGAAGCTGCGCCCAACATGATATCCATCCGTTAGCACTGGGCTGCCGGAGATGCCACCTTTCAGGAGAGGTGCAGAAACAAGGTCCTGACTACGTGTGATGGGTTAAGATCCTTTGGCTCTCTTTCC